TATTAACTTGCATGGTGTGGGTACTGTCTGTGATCGGCTGGGAATGTAATTGTTTAACTTTGTTCCAGGTTGTACGGAAAGAGATTCCATTGGAGTGATAGAAGAACTGTCGGTATGAGAGTTTGTACATGAGACTCTTACACTCTTGATGCATGTGTTATATAGTGTATTTATTTTATTATATGGACAGCGATGTAGAAGCCTATTTGCTATTAAAGTGAAAACAGATTAAAAAGGTGTGTAATATTTCATGTAAAGAAACAAGTGTTATCTTTTAGGGAGAACTGTAGGCGTTAAACGGTACGGGAGTTATTATAAAAGGATACGAAGTTTTTGTAAATGAAATATACAAGGTATTTTTTATCTTATAAGTAACACTTTATGATAATCATGAGATTTTATAAAATATTTTAATAAATTATCAGCAAAGCTGTGTTAAGAAACTGTGCAAACTCTTTCTTTTGGTGGGTGTTGCACCATGATTCACGATATCTTTTAATCGATTTAGATTTAGTTTTTTTATCTTTTGACTCGATGTAATAAAGCTTGTAGCAGTCCCAATTTTCTTTGCAGGTGTTTCTTTTAGTCCTTCCGTAACAGTTTCCACGCTTGAATTTAAGATTCCAGAGATATTTAAACCTGCAGTCTTATCTTTCGTCTTCCTCTTCTTCTTTTTACGTTTCTGTGATGTTTCGATATCTTTTGTGCTAAGTTTTAATAGTTTTTCTCTTGGCGGTTTATTAAGAGGCATCTTAGTAGTTTGCAAACAAACTGAACATTTCAGTATTAGTTTATTCATCTTATTTCTTAAACATTTCTTTGCTAAACTTCTATGAAATTTAGATGTACTTTTGTCATTGTTGTTTATGGAACGTATAACCTTTCTAATAGATCTGGAAATTGGTCTGCCTTTCGATATCCTAATACTATAATCCATTGTATTCCAAAGTGATCCACAGTAAGGACACATCACTGAAGGACCAAAGTTTTGCATTGGCATATTTACCCCTTTGCTTAATCTTCTACACCTTTGTCTAAAATTTAATGACATAAAATGTTTATAATAATGTGAATCCGATAATTCATTCGATCAAATATGTACTGATTATGTATTAAAAAACTGTTTAAACCTTACATGTAATATGGTTGTAAGTTTTTCTTCTGTAAACCATTTAATTTTGTAATGAATTGATTGACATTCCACAAATGGGTTATTTTCTCCATATTAGATATTTACACATAAATCTCCTAAATAAATGTTTCATCGATTCCTGTTACTAGAAAATGTTCATAAAAATTAATACAACATAATCTATATACATATATATACATGTGATATGATTCACAGATTTAGTTGAATCATGTTGTGTAGAGAATACACAAATGCATGGTTCTACTTCCCGTTTAATAGCAGGAAACGAACATAATATCAAAACTTCTTCTAATTACTCATTGATCCGATATACGAAAACAAATCTGTGACTCATCGTATGTAAGCTTTGTAAATCGTACTCTAAGCAGGAACGATCAACTAATGTTGAAATGTGTTGGTACAGCGATTGATAAAACTGGTACTATGTCCCCTGAATAGATTACACTGGTTCCCATAAAAATCGTCGATTTTTACGATATCATTACTAATTAAATGCGATCATTGTTTCTGCTATCCAGGAATAAAAAACAGAGAAGAACGATCTCAAAATGCAATCACGCCAGCAACATCACTAATCTCTTGAGTAACAGTGTGGCCAACGTGTGGGGGACGCTGAAACGACTATAGAATTCCTAAACCAATCTGTTGTAGGTTCGCGATGTCTTATTGCGCGACGTATCCGTTTAGTAAAACGGTTTCTACTCTATAAACAGCCAGAACCACGGAGGGTGTCAGAAAAATTTGTATTTTGTCATCCTTGTCATCGGAGCACCGGGAGTACTGTCAAACATCACTTTAAATAAATTGTCGGACAATTAACGGGTCGACATGGGGGACGGCAAAGAGGGCGAACGACAGCCGTTACTAAAAAACGAGAATGTTACTTATAGTTCACACGGAAGCGATTTCTTAGGTAAATAATTTTGTCTCTCTTGGCGAATACATTAAGGAATTGTTTAATCCAATTGCTTGTTTTTAACATCTTCCATTAGAGGAAAGTCAGTCGACAGTATCTCCAATTGGTCCCGATGAACTACCTCCATCGTATCAGTCAGTTTTACAAGGCGGTATGCCTATGGTTACTTGCAGAGTTTGTCAGGCTATGATAGAAATATCTGGTAAAAGAGATCAACATGTTGTCAAATGTTGTCAGTGCAATGAGGCTACTGTACGTTTGTGAATAATTTTTTTGTGCTACACAGCTGCATATTAAAAATGAACGTGTAATCATTTTTTTAGCCCATAAGGAATGCACCACCAGGAAAGAAATATGTTCGTTGTCCGTGTAATTGTTTGTTAATATGTAAAAGCTCCTCACAGCGTATTGCATGTCCAAGGCCAAACTGTAAACGTATTATTAATCTTGCTCCAAGCCCAATTACACCACCTGTTCTATCTATGCCTGGAATGTGTAGAGTATGCTGTGCTCATTGTCATGACACATTCTTGGTAAGTAGCTTGTACAGATCTCATATGTGTATGAATAATTAATACGTGCTCTGGTTCTTAGTTTAACACATTAAACAATGCATTGGCTCGATGTCCACATTGCCGAAAAATATCTTCCGTTGGCCCTGACTTCGCAAGAAGTCGAGCTATTGCATTTGTAATTGCTGGAATTATAGCCTTAATAATCGCGATAGCTGTGACCGTAAGTATTTTTGTCGTATAAGGATGTAAGTACCAAATATGTAGTTTGTTAATGTATGTTCTGAAATAAATTTGATTATTTTCACTTACCCTATAGGTTGGTACACATACGTATGTAAAAACTCGCGGCGGAATTTATGTGGCTTATGTTGGTAGGTATTGTAAACTATTTCTAATCTTAAGAACTCTAATTAATTCTAAATAAATTTCAGGTGCATTTCTATTGGCACTTTTGTGTCTGGGACGCAGCATTTATTATTTCACAATAAAAATTAGTTTGATAGAAGGTCCAATGTAGTCCTCTAAATGACAATCAACATCTAATATTTTCAAACTGATTCCTCTAACATCATGTGTCAGATATAATATATTTAGATCAAATGTTTATAGTAATGACAAAAACATATAAGTCCTGCTAGGATTTAACTGGTAGATATAAAGATTCTCACATATGCACATGCGAGTTCGTATTATAATACCGTTCTCGTGCAAAAATTCTCGCATATGCATATGCAGATGTACGTATTACGGACGAAAAGAACATATGTCCGATAAATGAAACTTTCTCATATAAGGTAATCTACCTAGAATTATTAGATGAGAATGGGGATGACCATTTTAAACAAAGGGATTGTTCCTCTGCACTTTTATATATAAAAGCATAGGACCAATGCAACAGCCCCAATAAATTGTTTTCATATTTGAAATAAAGTATGCTATATATGCTTTCTACATCTACAGTAAATATATAAAATGCACATAGGTATAAAGGAAAATAAAAAAAAGAAAACATTCTTGCATGAATATTATTCCGATTACAAATAGCTATACATACAGCTACATAAATTGCGTTTCTAATTCTGTACTTGCATTGTCGTTTCAGAATCTTTTAAAAGAGCCTTTTATAAATCAGTATCACTTGAGAGTTATTTTCAATTTATGTATTTTTTGACATGCAAGTAAAATTATATAAAATACAGATATGGAATGTTATTATCTATTTTATTACCAGACACTACTGCATGGTCCGAATTATTTTATTGTTTCCTTCCTTTAGTCGCGTAATTACAAGTAAAATAATTGTACCAAATCGTAGTTACCAAATTTTGAGATATTTATATAAATAATTATAAAAATGACTATTAAATATTTTTTCTAACGGTGTCAATTTTTTTGCTAAATTCCTCTGTATCATACTACGCTGGCAGTTGTCCAGTGTACAGAATGTAATCAATACTTTTTTTATGTTTTAATGCAGTTTAAGATTGAATCTATAATTTGAATATTTTGAAAAGATCTAAAACGCCATCTACGTTAAAATGTTCAAGCTAGTGAACATAAAACTCATGTCGGTATTCAAGATGTTAAGCTGCAATAACAATCAATTACTAACAACCTTGATTTGATAAATGACACACCATATTCTGTATCAATTAATTACTCATCGTAACTAACGAAGAAAGAAGTAAAAAACATAAACGAAATTTTTTTTAGTTCGAGTATGTCAGAAAAAACCTGCACTGTGTATTTGACTTAAACTTTCTTTAGTAACTTTTTCTAGAAAACATTCATTATATTCGCTACACTCTACACACATGTATCACACACGTATAGGAACATTTGCCGCCAAATTAACAATATGATTATACCGATTAAAAGGTTCTTTTACATTTACTTAACTTTTAATATGTTTAACTTTTTGTATAATTAATAAGTTGTTCGGGGTTTTTACAGAGACGGCAAACTTGAAGAATGGGCGATCATTGAATTACAAGGTGATTTAAAATTCGATTCTGCAGATAATACAAATAAATACATTGGAGATCTTCACTTTACAAAGTCTGGTACACCAATATTTATAATTGGAATTCATGTATTACACGGGAAAGAAGTTGTACTTCCAAAACCTTTTGCAGTTTTAGAAAAAAAAGACAATGGAACAGATAAAATGACAAATGATTCTCAGATAAAAACTGAATATATTGTAAAAGCCATTGTGAACAAGAAATTAGTTTTTAGATCAAGACCAAAACCTATTATAATAAATGTTCCAAAATGTAGTTAAATTTGTCTGCTTTTCTAAACAATGTATTCTCATTGATGCATTTCAATTTTGTCATTCCTATACAAATATGTTACTATCATGAATATAATACAAACTCTAATGGGTTTAAAAAAGCATTGTACTTTTATTTCAATGTTTTCTTACTTTACTTATATATAAAATATGTTAACCTAGTTTGAATTATAAATATAAGTAAATATTAATCTTTCATTTCTCCTTCTTCATCTTCTTCTTCGACACCTCGTATATACATAACATTATTACATCTGATTAAAACTTCACCAAGATTGCCAGTACAATTTCCATCTATATGTTCTTCTGTATTGGCTAATTGTAAATTCATGTACCCATCAACGGAGACAAGGTAACCTTTGTATTCATGGCCCCATTTCAATTTCACCATCACAGGTTTTCCAGTCAAACCATTTAAGAATGGTTTTGGATTTATTGGCATTGTAGCAGCCATGGTGAAAAGTTATTTAATTATCTGCAATGAAGAATTTCATTAGAGATATAACAATTAATAAAATAATAATATACAGGAATAAACATTCTAATTAATGAATAACAAACATAAAGTTCAAACTTTACTAGATACTTTGTTATTAAAAGTAAAGGTTAGGAGTTCAATACACTATAATTTTATGAAATTAGATTTTACGTTAACATAAAACTACTATTTTAACTATTATTTATGGTACAAAAATTTTTACTTACTCGTTTAAATAATAAATACTAACAAATTTTTGAGATCACGTAAAATGTGCCGTACGCGGCGGTTTGTTTTGAAGCAGTCTGCAACTGTGTGTAAATCGTAAATGGCTGCCACTACACTAACAAAATAACTAACACTTGTCAAATATTTGGAATAGTGTCGAAAAAGGATTATTATACATAAACTCGATCATATTTGATTACATTGTTCATACATACGACACAAGTAGTATAATTTCTTGTTTATTAAATAATGATTACATTCAAATTTAATGCATGAAATTTTAGGTACTTAACCGGACATACTTACAATAAAGAATTTGTATCTCTTAAAAGAAGTGTTCACATCTGATTAAGAATGAATATTCTGCCAAAGAAAAGGTATAGTTAAACTGTCTGTATAAATACTTAAATAACATTATCTTAATGTATCATATCCCTTCAAAACATTATACTATAGATGGCACGTACGTACCAAAGAAAATATTGCTCGTGTCCGTAAAGATGAAGCAAAAGCTGCAGAGGAAGAAAGAGTCAAGCAAGAAAGAGCTCAAAAAGCTGTAAGCATAAAACAATGTCAAAGGAAACCACTTATACATTTATATGTGTAATAAACATAACTTAACATTATTCACTATTTATTTTATACATCAGGAAACTGAAGCAAGAATTAATTTTCTGAGAGATCAAGCTAGATCGAAATACGATGGAAGAGAAAACACATCTGAGACAACTAATGCATCTACTTCTAAATTGGAACATGTTAATTTCTTTGCTGATCTTGAACAAGGAATTATTGATTATAATAAACCTAATGTAGAACATGAGAAGGAAAAAAAAGAAGAAAAAGAGAAATATGAAAAGCAAATTGGGTATCTTACTTATCTTGGTCAAGACACTAATGAAGCAACAGGCAAAAAGAACTGGTATGAGGAATTGCCTAAAAGAATAACAGACACAGAAAAAGATATAGAAGTGCACACCAAAAAGAAAATTTTGGAAGATCCAATACATGATATTAGAAAGTATTTAAACATCATGGGAGCTGGCTCTGGAGAGAAACCACTAAAAATAAAGTCAAGTTCTGTAAAAAGGGTGAAGCAAGAATCTGAAGATAGTGATTCAGATTACAAAAGTAGATCATCAAAGAAACATAAGCATAAAAAATCTAAGAAACACAAGAAAGATAAGCATCACAGTAAAGAAATAGAGAGCAAAGAAAAATCAAGTACAGATATACAAAAATTAAGAGCAGAAAGATTATTAAGAGAGCAGAGTGAAAAATTAAGAACAGAGGCACTACTAGCTAAAATGAGAGGAGATCCAGTGCCAGTAGTGGCCTCAGAAACGCCTGTTAAATCTGGTATTAAACAAAAGTATAATTCTCAATTTTTTCCCGAAATTGCTAGACAAAATGCTGAAAGAACACCTAATGTACATTCAGCAAGGAATTAATGTAAATTGTAAGTTCACTTCTATTTTACAACTGTGAAACATTTATTTAAGCATTAAAAAATTATATCTATTATAGTTATATGAAAATCAACATATGTACAAATTATTTAAAAAATATTTTATATATCTATATGTTATAGTTTCTAGTATTGGCAATAAAGCATTGATAAATCAATTAAATACGAGATTCCTTAGATAATTTTACTTCAATAAAGTACAATAAGTTTATATAAATAAAGCTACGATCAGAACTTGCATTTTTTTTAATGATTGCCGAATGAACTGTTAAGTATTTCTTGTAAATGTATTTGATTACGCTAAATTTCGCAGTATCACGTGACGCAAGATGGTGGAATATCACGGATCTCATGGATAACTCGTTAAAATTTAACGTTTATGTCATTTTTTCAGTATTCTTATTCATCACTTGACTGAAATTTTTTGTTCGTAAGTAAAATTCTTTTCTCTTATGACATTACATTAAATATTTAAATTTTATCTTCAAAGGGTTGTTTGAAATCTCGAACCAGACGCTTACAACGCGCGAGTTTGCATTCGCGAAATATGATTTTCGAATTTGAACATCTGTGAACGTACTCAATCACAAAAAGATGACAGCTCGTAGGAAATTCTCTTTCACGTAGTTGAAATTTAAAAGACTTGCTTGAAAAATGATTAAAAGAATTACATTTTTAAGACATGTTACTGATCGACCTCAAGATAACCTCTTCGTTAATTTATACGAATACCGCCGTTTTGAAATATGACTCTGAGTGTTTTTTCTATTGTATAGTCTTTATCAGAATATTTATCTTTGGTATGATTCGTAAAATATTTACATTACAAAGGTAATATTTAATCTAGTGAGGTATAAATATTGAAATTGTTTAGTTCAGTGGCACACAATATGACGTTTTATATACATTTAATAATTGTATGAAAAAGTGTTTTTAAACATTATTAATAGTACGAGCTTGCGTTTTCTTATTGTAGTGTTAAAGTTTAATCTGTAATAATATTTAAAACACCTCTATTATGTGTTAAATTGAATCTCATATTTTTTTTGTCACTCAAAGGATATATTGTATATTTACATTTCAGGCAAAATGTTAATATTAATTTGAATATGAAACACTTCTACAGATATGAGTTAATTAAATATTATTATCACAATGAATGAAGGAACAGGTATAGAAGATTCTTCATATTTAAGTTATGAAATAAATGGTACCAGATATATTTTGCAAACTGTATCAGATCCAGCTATTGATTTAATAAAAACAGTATCTACAAATGAAGAGCAAACTGCAATCAATATAATAGATGAAGCTCAAACAGAAAAAGAAGAAGAATCAATTTCTTTAGTTTGCTTGGATGGTCAAGTCTATGCATTTCAAAATGGAGAATTACAAGAATTAGATTTCAATCAAATTATAGATCAAAATGATCAACAAGAAAAAACAGTTTTATTACCTAAAGATGTAGATAATTGTGAAGCTCAGTACATTACTAATGAAGATTTAGTAATTAGAAATATTGACGAACAATCTCAAGAACAGTATGAAGTTGTTATGGGACAAAATGAAAAGAATTTCATTGTAGAGAAGCAAAATGTAAATGCTAATGTAAATGCTAATGATTTTGTAGAAGTTGTAACAGCATTCAAATGTAAAATATGTACTTACACTACCCAAGACAAAACACAATTATTACAGCACTTCCAAAAAACACATGTGAATCCGAAAGTTGATATTGAAGTGAGTTACTAAATTCTCTTTTCTCTTACATGTATATAATATTCATATTCATACTTCAATATGTATTTTCAGGTAAAAGAAGAATCTAAAAGTACAGATGAAGTAAAACTGTTGTATATGTGTGGGGAATGCTCTAATTGCTTTCCCTCTATAGAAGATTGTAAAGAACATATGATAAATGTAATTACACGAAACATTTAACTATAAAGAAATTTAGTTCATGTGGTGAAATATTAAGTGATGATGCTTGTTTCAGGATCATCAATTAACAGATACAGGTTCCAATAAAGGTGGCAAGGAAAATATAACAGATGACTCAAAAGATTCTACTTTACTCGATGAGTGTACAGGACAGAGTGCTGAAAATAATGATATAAAACACCAAGTTAAAATTCAAAAACCTTTAAGTTCTGAATATATGCTCAACAAAAAAATGATAGAATTGATGGAGAGAAATATAAAGTAAATAAATCATTAATGTATTTGATCACATCACTGTATTTACTAACAAATATCTTTTAAGGTGTTCATATAGAGGATGCCCTTACAAATTTGCTACAGAAGAAACGATGCAGCAACATGCTCTTTGTCATACAGAATCACAAAGTGGCACAGCATTCAAGTGTACTGTGTGTCGGGATTTGAAATTCACCAAATGGAGGCAGTGTAGTTTACATTTATGGAAAAAACATCAAATTGGTTAATATAATATTTCAATATTTAAATAGCTGAATATACTGAAAGGTATCGGATATAAAATAAAAATTTTCCTTTTAGATATAGGTTTGTTTACTTGTAAGATATGTAAAGCATACAAAAGTGCAACGATGGTGAAGCTTCTGACTCACATGAGAGTGCATAGCGAAACACGAGAATATGAGTGTCCCGAATGCGGTAAATGTTTCAAGCAATCCAGTCAGCTGCGTAATCATAGAGTAATGCATTTGGATCGTGAAACATTAGAGGTAACGCGTTGGTATACTCCCAAAAAATGTGATATGTGCGGGAAAACCTACGCGAACTCGAAATGTTTGAAAAGTCATATTCAAGCAGTACACTCAAAGTTACGGCCATACGTTTGCAATGTTTGTGGGCATGCCAGTGCTAGGAAAGCTATGTTGCAAATGCATTTACGCCAGCATACAGGTGATAAACCCTTTAGTTGCGATCTTTGTGAATATAAGACAGGAGATCATAACACGTTGCGACGTCATATTATGCAACACACAGGTATATTTTTATAACATCGAGGCGTTAAAATATTAAATAATATGCGTGTATACGTATATTATTATTACATTTTTAATTAATCATTGCAGGATTTAGACCGTATAAATGTCCCCATTGTTCTTATACTGCAATACAAAGTAGTAGTTACAAGAACCATTTGAAGTCTCGGCATCCCTTACTATCTGGTTTATTCACATGCGACTTGTGTCCGTTTAAAACCGTTAAAAATGAAAGTTACATGCAGCATGTAAGAGATCATGAAAAAGGATTGATCAAAGCGAATATGCAAAAGAAAGGTATGTTACCAAAGTAAAAATTTAATTGTACCTGCAACGGGTGTTGATATTGGATTGTTTTTCATCAGATGCTGAAAATGTCGAGGTTTTTCCTGGTAACATCGCAGCGGCACAATTGATTTATAGTTGTTTAGGAGCCTTCTCCAAAGTCGGAGATACCTTAGAAGCAAACTTAATGTCTTCCTCAACGTCTGCGGACGGTACATCACAAACAATCACAATACAAATACCGTCGAAACATCTTGAAGGTTCACTGCCAACGAGAGAAAACGGGACGAAAAGTAATTCTACGATAGAACAAGAAGATGAGGAAACAATGCATTGTTTCTTGAAAATTCCAAGAGAAGAAGAAGAAAGTATAGATACCGGTGGTATAACTATTCCAGCAGAACCTGAGGAATCGGGTGCAACAACAATTAATGTTGATACGTGAAAATATACAAAAATTGAATTACGAAAAAGATACTTCTATACTTTTGAAAATATCAGAAATTTACACGTCGAAAGTAAATGAAGAAATGCTAGTCACGCGTTACTTAGATAATAGAAATTGACTTGTTTTCTTTTTGATAGAGAAATTTAGACCTAATCTTTTAATTTAAAAGAAAAAATACTGATTGTGATACTATTTTTGAAATTTTATATTNNNAACAATTTCACAATTATATAAGTTTTATTCCTTCAAGTAACACTTTATACGCTGAAAACGATTAATTTTGTAGTTGTTTTTATATTAATTTTTGTTAAAATTGTAAACATAGATTGTTATATACTAGAACATTTTTTAATATTTTAAATGTATTTATTGATAATTAATAGTAAATTAGTAGAAGTGTACATAAAAATTGTAAAATAATAGTGTGGAAACCGTTGTAAAATGTAAATCACAATCTTTCGTGTGATTCGTAGTAAGATTAAAATAATATTTTACATGATTGACGAAAAAAAGAAACGTTCTGGTATTTTTTGACTTGATTAGTCACCAGATAAAAATAACACTTATCATTAGTATGGAAGAATGAATTTATGGATTTTCGAGAATGTTCATATATTAACTGTTGAACTTCACAAATACGTTCCCACGATTTCAGTTTTCTATATCAATTTGCTTAAGTGCAAAAATTGTAAGAATGGTAACTGATCGATTTATAATCACATTACTCATAAAAAAAAGGTTCAGTAGAAAGATTTAAAAAATATATTGGTAAACTATAGTATACAACCGATGTCTTTTTATATGCATTTTGTAAGAAGGTATTAAATGAAAATAAAAATTCTGCTTCTTTCGGAGTAGCCTAAGCAAATTGATACGAGTTATTATTTACAGCTAGTGATCCGAGAAATGTGAGAAGTTCCTTTTTCTTTCAAGCCACCGACGGGAATCTTCTCGTAAATTACACATCATATCACATCTAATAGTCTCTGGGCAGTTCGCCATAATAAGCCGTTAATGCTATCAACTTCCTGTCAAGAAAGTGCTGTTCCACTTCTACACCACCACCTACTCCGGCTAACATGGCAAGCTGTAAATTATATATATATACATATTGTAATGTCATAAGGTAAATAATGTCAATTATATTATGAACTCATCGAAAATTGTGAAATTTTCTAACTTTACAAATTACCTGCATAGTATCTACATTTCTAGGTAGAAAGTAGGCCACATGATCTGTGATTTCTTTTGCTATTTCAAATACTTTTGTTCCACCAATGGGTTGCATAACGTTATTGAGATCAAAAGTTTCATTCTTTGCATAACTAGGCCCTCCCCACGGAGGACTTAGAAATACAACATCTGCGATTAACTTTGGTGCAAGTTGAAGAAAATCTCCAACAATAAATTCTATTCTGTCATCGACTCCGTAGATTCGAGCGTTGTTTCGAGCAAATTCAATTTTAACTGGATCTATGTCTATTGCTAATACTGGAAAATAACATAAATACGCGTTTATCAATTTTACCTTATATATTAGGATTTAGTAATCAATACTTAAGTATGTATAAACGCACCTCTTTCACAAGTGAAAGCAAATTGAATAGCATTTCCACCTACGCCACAAAATGCATCGATTATTGTATCACATCTGCACCTTTCAGCTATATACTCAGCAACTTTTTCCGGCGTTACAGAGTACCAGCTTTCTACAATAAATATTTGAACATAAAAATTTTAAACGCTAATGAACTATCTTAAATGTGTTACGCGTCCGAAAACTTACCACGATCCAACTTAATGCCTTGATCAAACTTGCTAAATAATCGATATCTTTTTAGCCAATACTTCATTAAAGCCTTGTCATTAGCTATTTCTACTGGGAGACTTATATTTCTTTTAGATTGCTTCCTTCGTTTCTTCTTCTGTGTTTTCTTCACATTATCCTCATCAGACAATTCCATAGTTTGTATTTCGTTGTGATTATATTTTTCATCTACATCCATATTGACATTTGCGAAATCAACTTTTTCGTTATCTTTCACAGGCTGGTTTTCTAATGTACATCTAGCAGAGCTGCTTTCATCTTGATCAAAATATAAATTGTTATCTTCTTCGATACTTTTAAAAACATCATCTTGCTTATCAGACACATTCCACGAATCGCTTGCGTCGTCGATTTGCCTTTTATCTGCTCCCGATTCGATTGAACTTGTGCTTGGCTTGCTAAATACAAATCGTCTCGTTTGCAACTTGATATTAAGACTAGGATTGCACTCTTCATCAGAACTTGATGTAAATTGTGCTTTGTAGGAACCATCTTCAGGAGGCTGTAAGTCAGTTTCCGATGATAATAAAGCTGGACAATATGACAAGTAATGCTTGACCTGAAGTAAATAAAAAAAAGGTGTATTATTTCTTATATAAATATCTTTGTAATTTATATTATTTAAAAACCAATTTACTTTATCTATAGTGTTAGTAATTTCCATTCCATTATCATCAAAGTAAATATGCTTGTTTGTATGCTTGGGCCCATGAAATTTCATTTTCAGTTGCCTATTTTGTGATCTGATATTTTTCTTCCTATAAACTACTTCTCCTTTTAATTTTAATTCCTTGCGGTTTTCATTAAATGCGTATCCCATTAATGAAAATGCTTTCTTCACTGTTTCCAGACGTTCTTCTACATCATCGCAGTCGGTCTCATGGCTGAAAGAGGATAAATTTGTCTTGTTATTGTTCATTATTTATTCGGCAAATATATTACTGTACCTTCTTTTCAATGTTATAGGTTTATCGTCATGAGGCTTGTCTCCATCTCCTTCGTTCGAATAATTTCGTTGAATACTATTATTGCTACCAGTGTGATTACAACTAATGGAGTTATTTTCATTTTGTATAAGTGCAGCCTGATCATTGTGTTTATTCTCGGATGAACTTACATTTTCATTACCTTCTTTATTTTCATTCTGACTACTATCATTGTTATCCGATTTTGTTGCTAAATTCTGTACGAGTGCTCCTACAGATTCTATAACCAATCTTTTCTTCCGTGTCTTTTCTCGTTTGCAATAAGTTAACTTATTAGAGGCGTTTTTGTGTTCGGATATATTCAGTTTATCTATTTCTACTTGCGTAAAATCTGGATCTATACTTCCGTTGCTTTCTTCGTTCTTGTGTTTTACACAGTAACTTTCGATACCCATATCAGAATGTTCCCTTTTATAACTTTCTATGAATAATTCGTAATGCCTGTGGTACTCTATTTGAAAATTTTCTTTCCACAAATGCTGCCAATACCTATCGTTATCTTCTGGTGCATACTCATGGTCCTGATCAGAACTGGTGCTTGTTATATTGCTTTCAATGGAACTAGTTACAGAACTGATAAGACTAGATGAATGCATGGAAATAGAATCGCAGCTAGAACTAGTAAGGGTCATTTTTGTAACGTTAGTCATGGAATCCGAGGTCGCATTCGTCTTTGCTATCGACTCGTTAATGGAATCACATCTCGTCAAAAGTCTTTCGTTTTCCGCATTGGACTGTTGATTATAGCTTTCCTCTAAACTAAATGGACTTAACGGATTCCATCCATCTCCGGTTTCAGGCGGTGTTTCGATACTCGTCATTCGCCTTCTATTTTCTTCTGCATCTTTATCATTGATCTCCTGTTTGCTTATATCATCAAATGAAAAATTAACGCTATAAGTGTCTTTTGCTTTAATTTCGTGACCGTCTGCGTTAGTAGTTTTACTAAATATCCCTTCAAAATTTGAGCGTCCAAGTTCACAATTTCTGTGCGCTTGACTAGGAAAACATGTGTTCTGTTCTGAAAACTTCTCTATAGTTTCTCTTGCTTCTACTTTTTCATCTATTAAATGAGCATTTTGTTGCAAGTATTCTGGGTTTATATAATCTGCATACTTTCTGATCCATGATGTCCAAATTAATTGTTCACCATTTTGTGACCAATACTTCTCCCATGCAATGTCCATTGCACTCTTAGTTTGTCGATACATAGAGTATGGATAAGCATGAGAATTATATGTATATGAAACATTTTCCCTATAAGTCTGAGCATCATTAGTAGATACATTTTTTGAAGTATTTTGTGTTTCAGAATCTTTACTTCCTAAAATAAATGACGGGCTTTCTGTATGAAACTTCTTTTCGTTACAACTGGAGGGATTAATACTTAAAACTTTAATATTTTCTGCAAGATGATGATCTGATGAGTGAATGTCTGTTAATTCAGATTGCAGCTCTAATTGCTTGTCTTCTTGAGTCTCTGGAAGTACATTCACTTTTTCAAATTCATCTTCCAATTCAGTCTCTGTGGTTTGGAAAGTCTTTCCGTAAGATGCCAAAAGATTTTGTATGCTTTTAGCCTCGTGTTGATCATGATATTCGGATAGGTCTGCTCCGGAATCTGATTGGTGCAGACCCAATTTATGCGTAAGGGAATGCGTGGCAGGGCGATGAGCAGAGTCACGAACGGAGTCATGTTCATCTGTGGAATAATTGTTGTCTGTGTGTGATGCACTGCAGTAACAGCTCACCGGTTCTTCCTAATTTTAAGGAAGAAAAAATATGTGCTTGTTCAAATAGAGATGTAATATATTTACATGATACATATATACTGTCAGACTAGATGAAATTAAACAAATACTTTAGATCACGAAAAAAGACGATCTTACATCATGTTTCTCAATGGATTGTGCTTCTATGGTAGACCTTTTATGAAGGTCTAACATTTCTCCAACACAATCACCTTCAACATCTTCACCTGCACTTGCATCCTCTAAAGCAGGAACAGAATATATTTCTGGATTTCTAAAAAGCAGGCAAATAAAACATATATAGCAAAACATTATAGTTTCTTTTAGCTTAATAACAATAGTACATAAAAGAAAAAGTTTGAATGAATATCTTTTTGTAATATTTAATTAACTAATGATTTAGAAAAAAAATATTATTAAGAGTGCCTAATTGATTTTCACTAAAGATAAATCTAAACAAGGTATACAAATATACCTTACAAAAATCACTACACAACTTCTACATACAATACATTGTTGTATCACTTTCACATTATATTAATTATTCACATAAACATAATTATACAATTCGGTACTTGACAAAAAATGCAAACTCGAAGTGTTTGTTTTCAACGATATTTCGTGGAATAGTAAAAGCAACAAAGGAACCGAGCCACTAATTTTTAATTGCTTGAAAGAACGATGTTTCCCCGAGTAAATAGAAACGTTCTGTACCTCGACGGACGAAGATTTATATTTTTCAAATGTAATAAAAAATATATCGTGACCCAAGGCAGTTGAGTGGGTGTCAAGGTTAGGTCATGTGTCACACCACTGATCGATAAATGTGAAGATTTTTTATTTTATAGGGGAATTAAACTGCCATTAAAAATAGAACGAAAGAGCGAAGCTTCGACGTTAGAAGAGACAACGAGCACATGCACCGCGGGTGTATTTACCGAATAAATATTCTGCTGCAAAGACAATAAATGTAATTATCAGGGTCAGGGAACTCTGTCTGTTCCCCGATATAGACGTCAGCCAATGGTTCCCAATAAGGGTCGTTCATGCCGGAAAGAAATCTTTAATTTCTTGCTCCTTCGTGAATCGTCACAACACCCACATGTCTCGCGCTCAGATTTTTACAACTCCCCCCACGTAAAAACAATCCGCCATTTCTTCAACGGCACACTATCGTGAAGTTGTCTATAGTTATCATTGGGTGTAATGGTCGATCGATAACTATCGATATTTTACTCGGATTCAAAAAGTGTTATTAAATTTCCAATACTGTTAATGCTATTTTTAAAAGCAACATGTTATTTATATCGAACTATTCACGTTACAATGTATACATTCGAATAGAAATATTCCCTTAAAGTAAAGTATCAAGTATAATTATGAACATGTTCTAATAATTATAAATGAAAATTTAATTCGATTACCAACAAGAATTCTTAGTAAAAGTGCTCCTTTGTATCTCGAATATGATAAACATTTTATGCAGAACTATTACGCGCGCAAAATATAATTTTCTATGGTTATCACACAAACAAGATATAAGAATAGATTGAACACCTTGTAGACCTAGATTGACTGCCTTACCGACCTAGAAATTTAAGACTGATTATAGCGTCCTCTTCTCATGGACAACAGATACTTCAAGAACTATTCACTGAATTAGTGTTAGAAAGCGAAGGGAATGTGTGAGTGTAAGTGAGCAACAGGAATATGTATGTTAAGACTTCCAAGCAATGAAGAGAGTCCAGGGTGATCTGAACCCAGACAGAGGAACAGGAAAATCCTCCACATCTGGAGATCACCGGAGAACTGAGGATTTTTACCTCCGCTCCTCACTGCTTAGCTTAGTACACTCCCTCTCGTGACTCGCTACAGCCCCCTTTTGTTGTCTACTTCATTCCGTTGCGCAGAAAATTGCGCGAACCAGTGAGATTCAATTAGATCGGAAATTTATTCATTAATTAATCCGTTATTTCTGGCTATTCAATAATTACAACGAATATTTTTTCTCAAAGACGATAATAAACATTTTTTCGTTTACCATTTCATACACATTAATATTGAATATAGTTGTTGAGTAAATTTTACCATAAGAATTTCTGATTACAAAATGTTAATGTTTAAGGGCATAAACAAAAGCATAATTTTAAATGAAATGGTTTACTGATTTTAATAAGCATTTACAGCCTTAATGAAGTAAATATATATTGTTTAATTTAAATGTTCGACCGGTAAAGTAGGGAAAGAACTCACAATGAAAGAGAGCTTACGATCTATGGGAGAATTGTCATAGATCACTCACTTTTTTTGTAATGTATTGTGTATAGTTCGTACGATGATATTCGTGGTTGATATGTCGTATTATTTAGGTTAGCTGTCTAATCGAGGAACGTAAGATTCAGTGGATTTCATCGAAAATATCAAGAAATGACGTCCTATCTTGAAAACTTTCAATTACTATCATGCGTATGGTTCGAAATAGGCGATAAACGCAATGTACTCGCATCTATGCTGGCTGGAACATTGGTAAACAGCAGAGTTTGCACTGTGACACTGACATTACATCACTATTATTTTTATTTTATTCTGCGTATGAATGTTGTTGATTTATAACATTTTTTGTAATATAATTTTAATATAGGACTTATTCGTTCATATTTCTTTATTGCAGTAACTAAATAGTTCTGATTAGTTTACAAATCTTTCTGTAAGTTCATATCTTTTAGTACTTGTTTTCAAAAGAAGATACTGAACTAAAACTTTTATCTTTCTCTTTCTTCTTACATTAAAATTGAGTGAAACTTCATGAGACTGTTTCAAGACTCTTATTGCATTATGTTTAGAACATTTACCTGTATTGCAAACACATTTAATTTATAGTCCAATTATGGTATTTACATTTCGATAACTAATCTTTTTCTTTTATTATTTTAGTTCTTTGTAGGATGGTGGTTCATCATTGATGCTCATGCTAAGTATCCAAGTGAAATGTCAAATGCGTATCATCTGTGTGGAGTATTTGGAACTATTTCCCTTTTTATGTAAATTAATAGTAATGTTGCTTACATAATTTAATATAGTTCAAATGTAATCATTTGTCTTTTAATTTAGGATAAACTCTGTAACAAATGCAGAGATCAGAGGGGATGCATACAATGGTGGATTCTTGGGAGATAGAGGTGCAAGAGGTTGGCTGTTCATTGGATTTGTAATGGGATTTGCTGCAGTAATTGCAGCATGTTGGATTTTGTTCGCAGACTTTGTTGCTGCAGGTTTAGTATTTTATTTCTAAATCATTATAAACGAGTATCCAATTCTATTAATTGTATTATTTCAGAGGCTAAACATCATTGGCCTGGTGTAGGTCTATTCTTGCAAAACATATTTATCTTCCTAGGGTCCCTTGCATTTAAATTCGGACGAGTTGAGGAACTGTAAAGAAACTCAATATTTGAGTATTGCATTGAGCATGAACTGAATTGGTTCATATTATAAAAAAAAAGTTCTCTGTCTTAATTTATACATAACTTACATAAAACTAGTTATTGAAATGCTTACTTACCTTATCTATAATGACTAATTTTAAATCCAAATAATCTTTATGTATAATAAAACACATAAAAGTATTATTCTGCCCACATACAATTAGATCACAGAATAATAAATTACAGGCTTTGTGATCATTTTATCTTACTACAAAAATACACATACGAATAGTTGAGCAAAAGTTTTACAGTTTAAATGAACAAACATATTGTTAGAATGAATACTGCTAAAAGATACAATAAATTTTGCATTTATTGGTATAATTGTGTGACTGAAAATAATTGTATTCCAATTTTCTAAATAAATTTCGATTGCCTTTATTCGATTCCCTTTTTTTCTTTATGTAATTATCGTGTCCGTATTTTGTCCATATATTTTACAATCGTTGATATTTTTTTTCGAGGCAGCGATGGTTTGAAATACTACCTTCGCGATAGTGGGAGTAAAATAACAGATTATTGGTTTTCATTTGCTAACGCGGACCAATATGAACGGTTTCTTCCATCTTATTTTACCAATCGCGTTGTGCCACACAATACATGGCCTGTGTTCGGTTTGACGAAACGTTTGCAGGAGAGTACGTTGTGTTTTTTATTACATTGAAAAAGATTGAAACGAGCGTGTACCCATGCTCAGTGGTTTAAAAACGTTCATCCCTCTTTTATCCGGCTGATTTATTTCGAACATACATAAAAAGTAAGTACCGTGGAAAAGTATTAACGTCGTTATTCGTAACCTTTTTCCCGTACTCCCGGCTACTTTAACCAAGTTTGACAAGTTTCGTAGGAATTCTCATGTAATTGAAAGATAATACACTGCACGTTTTCGAATATTTTATATCAATGAAAATTCTTTTACAAACGTTCCTTCTGCTTGCCATTTAAGTGTCAATTATAAAAATCAATTGTGCACGCGTGTTTTCTTTTCCATAAGAATTTTTACAGATCACATGTGAAACGCCAGAGACAATTTTTACAATCGTTTTAGTCAACGAAAGATCTGCGAATTTTTAATTCAACGTGTATAGAGAATATTATGAAAAGAAGTGTTGACATTCACAAAAACTTTATTTTGTTTTGTTTCTGAATAATATATTGTTGTTTAATTTATTGTTATTGTTAAGTAAAGG